TATAGCCCCAAGTGCCTCTAAGAATAATCCTAAGGAGAAGCGCCTCGTTGGGAGAAAACCTGGTTCAAATAAAGGTTTCTTTCACTTTTGCCCCTGGCTTGGTTTCATTTTGGCAGGGGGTGGTTCGGGGTCCCCCCACCCCAGCTTGGCTGGCTGAGAAATGGCGTCCGCCCTCGGGACCTGCCTGGAGAGGGAAATTGTCCCTTGGCACGGAGCATCACAGAGATGATGCTCCAGGATGCGCCAGGCTCGGTGAACCCGGGTACTCGTGGGGAAGAGGCATCCATACGGGATGCAAAGCGCTTGTAAGGCTCACCCCAAGGATGCGGGTAGCACCTCATCTTTGCCAGGGTGTCACCAGGAGCACCCCCATCCTCACTGACCCTCAGGAGGGGGGTTAGGAGCAAGCGGAGCTGAGAGCAAGCTTGATTTTTGGGTGGGGGGCTGTGCAAAGGGCTTGAGCAAGATGAGCTCGAACATGACTGTGCAGCCATGCGCAGGGCAGCGGGGGCCGGGAAAGGCTTCCAGAGGGAAAGGGAAGCTGTGGGTGGTGTGGCTCCATCCCAAATCGCCTTGCTGCAGGAGAGAGCCGTACAACTCAGCCCTGAGAGATGGGGCGGCGCTGGGACCGCCGGGTGATGGGGATGCCAGCCAGGCAGGGCTGCTTTTGGGGCGAAGTGAGACGGCACCCCCCCCTCTCCTCCCCTCCAAAGCTTTTTCAGCATCAAGCCTTCACGCCAGCCATCCCCGCCGCCTCAATGTAAGGGCTGGCTGGGAAGCAGGCAGTAATCCTCGCGCCTCCGGGGCTGCCGGCACATGGCCCTCGCCTGCCCGGCTTCGGTGGTGTCCGAAGTGACCCGGGCAAGACCCCGCGAAAAATCCTGTCTGGAGCCCATCTGGCAGAGCTTCAAGTATGCAGTTGGCCTGGCTTCCCCTTTTCCCAGCTCGCTGTAAGCCTTTGCGCTCCTCGCCCTTGGCAGGCTCAGGTCTGCAGGGCTGGGGCCCCGCCAGGATGAGAAAAAAAAAGGCTTTTTGCCTTTTTTTTTTTTTTTTTTCCTCTCCCCAAGAACATTAGGCTCCTGCCAGGAAGCTGCACTCATAAATAAGATGTCAGAAATCCCGCCCGCAAAACACAACAGTTATTTGTTGCAGGATCCCTGGCACCAACCTCCTGGTGAATCATTTATTCCTCTGCTTCTTCCCATAAGAGCGAACAAGCGTGTGCTCCCAGTTGCAAACAGGGCTGCTCGCTGCCCGCCCGGCTCGCAGGCCACCGACGTGCCCGCCAGCAGGATACCAGATCAAACGTCCCCATCCAGCTGTGGGGGTCAAGAAGTTTTGCAAAAGGGCGGCAAACCCCTGCCCGAAAACGTCGCCCTGACCTTTCAGGCACTCGGCTGCTTCGTTACAGCGCTGGCAACAGCCGCGTCCCATTATACAAGGGGTTGGCGGCGCGCCAGCGGGATGTGCTGGATTGCACCCACCCCTGCACTCTCCTTCCTCTTCCTGCTTTCTCCCTGACACCCGGCAGGAGCAGGATCCAGCCTTGTTCTGCCCAAGTCCCTCGCAGCACGTCGCTGCCCCCCCCGGGGGTTTTGATGCCCATCTGGGGTGACACAGGGTGTGGGCTTACCGTGCACCCCCCCAGGAGCTCTTCCCCCCCTCCTCAATCAGCCAACACACGCAAAAAATCCTGGGACACATCTTCCTAGGGACGCTCTGCAGCCAAAAACCCACCAGGGCGGTCCCAGTCCGATATCCCTGTTGGGAGCAGGATAGAGTCGGAGAAGGAGAAGCGGCCCCTCACCCTCCGCACCACCCCAAAACCCTCCCGCGCCTCCCCAAAGGGCGACTGGGCTTTTTCAGCAGCAGGGAGGAGCAGGGCAAAAGTGCTCCGAGGACTCGAACAGCCTGTTCGTGCTCTTAAGGCAATTGCTTCAGGCTGTTGGCAAGCGGCCACCGAGCCCTTGCGCTCCCGGACACACTGCCAGAAGCAAGCGCCGAGCGAGCGGCAGGACCCGTGCTGGCCCTCGACGAACCATGTAAACCAGCAAGCCGCTCTCAACCCCGCTGAAACCCAGCAAGCCGCTCTCAACCCAGCTGAACAAGCCTCCCGCAAACCTAATTGTGCTGCATTCGCCTTGCAGCCCCTTCCCTCACGGCCCCACTCACAAGCATCCCCGGGGACTAAAAGACCTCCTCAATGGCTGGGGGTGCAGGTGGGAGCGGGGCCAGGCAGAGGCGCCCGGACGGCAGCAGCAATGTCGGTTGAACTTTGTCTCCCTGCTTTCTAGCATTTCGTTTGTTCAGGTGCAAGGGCAAATAAATGAAAAAGCTGGAAACATAGGCGGGGAGGTGGGAATTTCGGTGGGCAGCTGGCGCCGAACTCGGGTCGGTGAGACCGAGATCAGCTGCAATCCTGCTCGTGCCGAGGGTTTGTGGGAGATGGGATCCCTAAACGGACGTTCAGAAACGGCGGACAAGGAACAAAGCGGCTGCGCTTGGTCCTTGTGGCTGCCGGTTGCCCCTGGCCGGCATCCCGACGCTGCGGGTCCTTTCACCTACACATGAGCTGGAGAAGCAGGTGGTGACCCATGGAGGGACCCCAGCACCCCAAAGTGGGGAATCCCCCCCCACTGGGCTCCTGCAAGCAGCTTTTTCGGTAGCACCGTACATCAGGTGTTGGGGCTGCAGAGGAAACACCCCCTGAAATGCCCACTGAGCCCGAGCCCTCCTCCATCCATCCCCTTGCCCATCCCCGCTGGCCTCCCCACTTCCCACAGTGATTCCTTAATTACCACCATGACCTAATGAACTTCATTAACCTCAACGAGCGTTCCCATGCTGCCAGGGAAGTAGCTGAGGAAAAGAAAAAAGAAAAATATTTTATTTCCTGTGGGTTCGGAACAAGTGATGTCAGGGGCTGGGACTTTCAGATCTGCACCCAAATTACCAGAATAGCCAGAAAACCTATGTGGCAGCAAGTACAGGTGACGAATACGCCCTCCTGGCACAA